TCCGTACGCAAAGTAGTACAGTACACCAGAGCGAGGTCCGCACAGACCCAGGCAAGGTAGCCTAGCCCATACATGGTTATAATAGAGCCTCAATCTGCAGGTTGAAACCCCCAACGGCAACTTTAACAACATTTAACATGCAGCAATCACAGCAGCCCGAGTCCAGCTTCCAACACCGACATAAACAAACTCCAAGCTTTCCAGAACAATTATCTGCGTAAGATCACAGGAGCGCCTTAATTCATTCGTTAATGAACAGCCTCACAGGGATCTCAAAATTCAAAATCTGGCCACCTTCATAAACAAACTCAATAGTAACTTCTACAATAAAGCAGTATTCAATGACGACATTAAATACTCTGACAATTTTAAGTATGAACTTCTAGAAATAGACATAAGATCTTACGCCACTCATTATTTTAGAAACCCGGCCTAATATTCAAAACGTCTTTTCATAACTCTACCGCTTAGTTAAATAAAATTTCACCTCCCACTGGCCTGGGCCATCGCCTCACTTCTTAATTAAGGTTCTCCTATGATGTATCGTATGTGTGTCTCTCCTAGCCGGGGTTATTGTGTTAAAATTATAGAACATGGTCTGCCTTTAAAAAAAAAAAAAAAAAAAAAAAACTAGGTGCACCATTTTGCCTTGGAGGATTCAAGATAGGGTCACCTTTAGTATGGCAGTGTTGTATGCTCCCAGCTCTAAAAAATGGAGCTTTCTGTATATTTTCCATTGAGTTTCTAATACAGAAAGTATTTATGAAATTTCTGCACTTTTAAATATCCTGTATGCATAAATCAGGTGTAAATAAACTAAGCATATTCAGTCTTCTGTAGCTTGATCTACAACCAAATTGTGACCAATTTTGCTGAAGAGAGAAATTGACTCATGAAGACTTGATTCCAAGCGGGGTGTAACGGCATATAGTGATATTGCTATGCTGAACTTTCAGTAATAGCAATATGTGGGGGAAATTATATTAAGAAGAGATGAAATCATCCCACATTGACTGATAGCTTCAACGTCTTGTGTGCTATCAGATTAGAGACATGATTGATCCTCCTTTAAAACAGCATACCCATTTTTATCTTGATATCATCACGGATTATTGAAAGACCATTCTTACTGAGTATTTGCTGGGGGGGTTATTGTGTGTCTCCCCTAGAGGTTACAAGTTCTTTCCGAAAGTTGCATGCTCAATTAATGCATACAGCGGATCACAAACTCAATTCTACATTCACCATGGTCCCTTCCCACATTATCTTAAGAGATTCCGAAAACGAGCGTCAGAATTGTGTGAATGTGGTGCGGTAGGTGATGCAGATCACTTCCTCTTCAACTGCCCACAAAACCGATAACTGCTTTAAAATACCAAGCATGAATACGACCGCAATGGGAGAATACCTACGGCAACAAGCAGACGAAAACAAAATGAGTAGTATCGGCTATGCTCAGCAAGTACTAAGAATTTCCTCCTCCCTTGAGAATTAGACTTCGATCTTAAGTTTATACCAATCAAATACTACAAACTGAAATAACACTAAAAATAGCGCATCCGTAAAATAGTACATGGATTGTAAAAGCAAAACTATTTATGTAAGCATATACTATCCAGTTTGTATGTACTGAAAATAATATTATAAACGTTTAAAATGACAATTGAAATCCCTACGTTACATTGACAATTTGTAATGAATTACAAGTTTTCTTTGATATCTCAGTAAAATATGTAAATATAATCAGCTAATGTTTTAAATGTACACATAACTGTCATTTTTATGTAACACACATGTAACTTGTCAAGACAGTGTTTGTAATTAACATATCTATGCTTATACACAGGCCTTGTATGTCCATGTAATATTTATATTTTTACACGGAAGAAATATTCCCTTCTACCAGGATGACTATTTAACACTGTAAGACTTTTACAAAGTCAGGTCAGTGGTTATCTCAGGCGGCGATCAGCCGGGATTATTTGAGGTACCAGTAATAGCTGTATAAAGTTCCACCTGAAACTACTATAATAAATAGTATAACATCAAATATAGTATAATAGCAAATAGTATAATATCATAGTATCATAGCAGTCCGAGACACAATTGACAGTACCGTTACAGTCCCTGTCGAGCCTGAATGGACCATCGTAGAAACTAAGGTTGTAGTTCTGGGAAGGTAGTTAATCTCCGCCATGTTGACTACTCCCAATATATGGACGTTACTGAGTTGCCAGCTCGGGAGAAGGTTATCCGCATGTACAAACTTCACGAAAAAAAAAAAAATCATCCAAAAATGGATTCGGGAATGGTTAAAATGAATATTTCTGTTGAAATATGATACCTGAAATTTTTTGCGATTAGCATATTTCGTAGAAGGAAGCAAAAACAGTGAATATTCTTTAAAATAATGATTATTTGTTTAAATTTTATTTGCACTATCCACAATTTTAAATTTTACACTGATGAATACGGACGTAGATATCCGTACCCTGAAAGAATGAGTCATTCGGATTAGGGGCGTGGTCGAGAGAACTTGATCCCTAACATCAAGCTTGTGGACGAGGGAATCAGCAGCTGGAATTCTGGTGAAAGTTTAAGAAACATTTTTGTAATGATCGAAGCAATTAAGTTTTCTTTCTGTGGCCCGGGCGGAGAGAAGGGATATAGCGCCATAATTTATGAATATTGTAGAGACATTAGGTATTTTTTTAGAAGCAGGCAAGATGAAAAATGAGCAACCGCCTTCGCCGGGAATCGAACCACGGACCTCTGGAATACCGTCCCAGCGGGAAGAACCACTACGAAGGCACGCTAGGAAGACGGGAGAAATACCTTATAATATGGAGAAGAATTAATTTCTCACATAATAAAATACCATGGCTGTACCGCTTTTGTTTATCTTCCTAAATCTTCCATCACCTACAAAAATTTTTGGAAACAACTCTTTTGTGCAATTTTCGCACTTCTTCATTTGATGTAAAACATCCAATCATAGTGGATAACTACAATCAACACAGAAGCAGAAACATTTACTGCATAATAGCTGCATAGATGGAAGTTTTGATTTTGATGGATAGATTGAAAGATCAGATTTGCAGCGTTTGGCAGATGGGAAAAGAAATGGCTGGTCTTTTTTTTATTTATTTATTAGTAAATCTCGTAAAAACTGTGTCGAAACAGTTCGTTATTATTATAAGTAGGATGCTTGTCAGCGTTTTAAAAGAGCAGGGAACAGACGCGGGATACTAATATAACACATTTTTAGCGTAAGTTTTAGAATATGAGGAAAAATCTCTTTGTTCAGCTATGTAGAGAAGAAATACATCGCCCACAACTACGGCAGATTTACCGGTCCACGATTCTTCTGAGAAGATAAAGCTCAGTCTCCAGACAAAAAAACCTCTCTCAGATGAAACAGAGAAAATCTCATTTTTACTTCCTTGTACGAAGTAAAAAGAAGTTGTATCGCGAAATGTCAGGCCAGCATATTTCACAACGAAAATCCCATTTTGACCGCCTCGAGCAATTAACGATGTTTTTGCGTGATATCTGTACGTAGGAAGAATAAAAACCGTTTTCTCACAAAAAATATAACTGCTTTAAATTAATTCTAGAGATTTTTTGTGGCGTCTGTACGACGTATGTACGACTTGCGCACGACTACGTACGTATCTCGGCATAACTCAAAAATATAGGCCTCAGAACGTTGAAATTTGTATAAGATGCTATAACATGTAGAGTGCACCTCGTTTTGGTTGCATCGGCGCACCACGTATATACTACTATATTTATATATATCCCTTTATTACGCTCACATGAGCTCAGTTTCTTTACTCTTATTGTTTGTAATTGTAACCTTTTTTGCTAAAAATGTTGATTAGTTGTTCTTTCTTCCGTTAGGGTTTTAGTTCGTATTCTGAAGCAATATTGTACAATATCAACATTTAAAAGCTGTTTAAGTGCGGTTAGGTTTTTAATAACATGGCGGCATATTTGTTTACGTTGAACAGCAAATTGTAGATTTGTTGCCAATCAGAGAGACTAGCTTCGCACAACAAACTAACCCTTCTATTTTTATTGCGAAAATCATCATTATAAATCCTTTTCTGGACTTTTTTTGAGGAAATAAGTGTTTAAGATTTCTTAATTTTAATATTAGTAATTTTTAATACAGATATTTTGACTTTTATGTATTTTTGTCTTTTGCGAAGTGAAAACTGATTAATGAATGAAATACTCAATCGTCGTTAAAACTGTTTCTTTTTTGTTTTGTTTGCTTATTTCTTTTTAGATCGTTCTATTGCTTTATTGCGTATTTGAAAGACATGGCAACTATTAGATATTCTTTAATGATCTAATTTTGTGAATTCTGATTATAATATGAATAAATATAATACTGTTAGTGAACTGTGCCAGAGTGTCCTATGTACAAATAAGTGAATTTATTCTATGTGTTTATGTCTGTCGCGAGAGATTTAATTAATCCAATACGTTTAAAGAATGCAAGAACAATGCGTATATTTAATCTTCGTAAGGAAGTCATGTGGTGTACACATCAGATTTTTTAGTCTAGGCTTCCTAATTTCTTCCAAGCTTTGAGTGACGGAACGCTTATTCCCTAATCCTCAGTGAACACTGCATAGCGTCCAAAAAATATCTTGACTGGAAAAGGTACACTTTAAAGAATGCACATTTTAGCATGTTATGAGAATCTGGAATTCTCGTCAATAACACTAGGGACAACAATGAAAACTTCCGTAGGCATAATCCTTAATCCTTAGTTATGGATTATGCAAATCCAGGCAAAATCCTTAATAGTCTGAAATTGCAAGTCTGGTTTAGGCTTTCCCTTCATTTAATTTCTTTATTTCTTAAATATTATGAAAGCATTAGATAGTAATATGTAAATCGTAAGATGAAAATTTTAATCGATAATGATGGTGGCAAACAATGCTTTTTTATTTTCCTAATATATTGTTTTGTACTTTCTTGCATAGATTAATGCTAGTCACCTTTTATCAGCTTCCGTGATGGCTGCTCCAGCAGCCTTGGCATTTTCGAAGCTAGTGTATCCCGAAACGGAAGAAAGTAAGACACAAGCCAGCAGCATAAAGATCGAAAAAGGGTGAGTTATATGACAGTTATTTCATTTTGCAATATTTGTTTAATCATATGTGCTTTGATATTTGTATGCCTCTAAAAGTTTTAGAAACTTACTCTAAAACTGAGACACAAAATTCTTGTGAAGCTATCGTTGCCATAAAGTTTTAGTGCATTGAAACGTATTTATCTTTCGCAAAAATAAATATATAAATAAAAATAAAGATTATTTCAATGGATTTCAGTCGTCCACAATACTTACCCTTTCCGCGCTTGTAATTATAAGCAAATTCATCCTAATTAGCAAAGTAATCTCTCCCGCGCCGTTGAAAATAAAGTGGGATGGCGATTTAATTTTGAGTTTATTGAATATATTTGCATTCTTTTCTTTGACAGCGATAGTATAAACAAGAGGAAAAAATCTACGATTGTTTCGCAAAAAAAATTTTTTTGGGGGGGGAAGGGAAGGAGCTGCCATTTTCAACACAAATTTTAATACTCAAATTAGAATTTCTTTGCAATCACAATTATTTATTGTAAGTGAAACTTAAATCCATTTTTACTTCCTTGTACAAGTAAAGGAAGTATTATAATCACAAAAAAATCCGGATATCATATTTCAACGAAAATATATATTTTGACCGTTATCGAATGCAGTTTAACGATGTTTTTGGCGGACTCTGTACATAAGACAGATGAAAATCTCTGCCCAAAGACTCTAAAACTGATTAAAGGGGATCAGAAAGTATGCTAGCATAGGTACGACGACCGGATACTCAAGAACGACGTTGAAATTTTGTATATAGGACTATCCAGTAGTTTGCACCTTGTTTTGGTTGGCAATCGCCAGATAAAAGTATATAATATAATTATATAGATATAGAGATATATATATATGTTACGAGCGAGTAACAGATTACCACTTGTAGGCTGAGCTCATTTATTATTTATTTTTATTTTTATAGGTGGTATTGGATATTTTAAAAAATGATTGAATCATATTATTCTTATGTTCTGGTTAAGATTTTTATGTCTTTAGTTAATCTGCATGCAATAGTTGTAGAATTATCAACAATTTAAAAGTTATTTAAGTGCAGCTAAATCTAAGCTTTTTTTTTTTACCATATAAGCCATATTTGTTTGTATTTGAAGCAGAATGGTGAATTAAGTCAGTTTCTGCACCTTCAGTATCTTTTTGCCTTGTGGGACCAGAAGGAAACATTTAGTTTTGTGCACCGGAAAATCTGTCTTCTTGCCTGCTGGGCGAACTGCTTGTTTTTGCATGAAAATTCTAATTTTAATAGAAAAATTGTTTTTTTAATTGTTTTAACTGTATTCGGTGTTTTATGTTTTCTATATCTTTCAATTTTTAATGATGATATTTTGAGGTTTTATGTACTATCTCTAATGAAATTCGAGGAAATAAGTTTAAATGAAATATATTTTAATATTCCGGAAATTGCGTATAATTTAATATTCCGTACAAGGAAGTCATGTTGTGTCCTCATCAGCTTTTTTTCTCAAAGTACTTTGTGGGTTACTCGTGTTTTGGCTTAAAAAATTAAATATATTTTACTTGAAAAAGTTTTTTTTAAGCATATCTGGTGAGGTTACTATGTTTGTAAATTTTAACCTTTAAAATTTTAACCTAATTTTAACAAAAATATTATTTTTTTGTTTCGTCGGTTTGAAAAGTAAAAGGCTATAAAAAGGAGTTTTAATTTTGATGAGAATTTAAAAATCGAATTTAAGCAGTTCTGATGTGCAACCTTGACATAAACGGCTGAAAGGTTAGTATTTTCTTAAAGAGATTTGAGCTCAAGAAATACGTAACATTTCTTTCATATTAGTCTTATTCAAAGTATATGTGCTATAGTTGATACAAAATGCATCTCTTTTTCATGCTTGGCAGGACTGAGAGCAACGCGTTAGAAGCTGCAACGAACGGTGCTTCCACAGCCATCAAATTGGTAAGCAGCATCGCTGCAAATCTGATAGCATTCGTAGCCTTCATTGCATTACTGGACACAGTGCTTAGTTGGATGGGCTCTTTAATCCATTGGGATTTCCTCTCATTCGAGGTAAAGATATTTTCCTATCCTCATGACTCATAGAATCATATCTCCATTTTATTTCATTTTAATGATAAAAAGGAATATTGTTCTTTTTTTTTTTCCTTCCTCTTTTTAGTGGGTTATGTCCAAGTTATTCATTCCCGTGTCTTTGCTGATGGGCGTTGACTGGGACGACAAGGAAAAGGTAGCCAATTTAGTTGGCCTGAAGATGGTCGTCAATGAATTTGTTGCCTACAAAAGACTCGCAGATTATCAAAAAGATAACCAGTTGTCTGTACGTAATACACACTTTTTAATTTTTAATCTTTCATGTTGTAATGAAGTTTTAAAGAACTCTTGCCATTTTTGAACGACTAACAAACTTTATTAGTCAAAACTTACAGAATAACTGAAAAACATTTTTAAGCGCTGGCATCGTCTGCGGATATTCTTTGCGGATAATCGTCTGCGGTAATTTACATTTCTTAGTGGAATTATGTTGGTAGCGTAGCAACGCAAATACGTTACAATGTATTCTTTCTTCAACTTTTTCTTTAACACTCGCTGTCTGGCTAATTTACTGGTTATGGCAAAGCAAATGAGGGCTATTTATCTTACGAAGGAAAGCTTCACGGAGAACATTTTAAAGAAACATATTCGCATTCTTATTCATATGGCGAAAACTACGAAAGCTCTTGCAACCAGCTTGCTTTCTCAGAACAGAATGCTGTAGTCTTACTCAGCCAGTGAATTCTTAATATTCGGTAAATAGTCTATTTTAAGTCATTTGTTTGAAGAAGCTTCAAAGGCAGAGCTTAAATGAGATTCTATTTAATCTGTTAAGTGAGTTGTTAATAAATTATGTAAAAGAATTAACCTTCAGATGTGTTTTTTTAATATACAAGTACTTATTCGATTGCAAAATGAAATATGTTTTATGTGATGACTAATATGATGACAAATACTTAAAACTTATTTAATCATAAATATTTCATTATGAATCAGAATGAACAGGTAAAATATTCTGTAAGATATCGTAGATGAATTTCTGGAACAGCAAGAAAGCTTACGCTAACATTTCTAGGTTTAGTTAGAAATATTAATTCAGGTAATTAAAACTAGAATTACGGATAGCGTGAGTGTATAACTGCTACAAAATTCTAGCTAAATAAAAAATCTTCATACTGGTTTATAACTACTACTGCTGATTATTATACACTACTACTTCGGACTATTGCATACTACTACTGGGATAGAATCCAGAAAATTCTAAAAGTGGACAGAGATAATTAGTAGCTTTCAGCTTATAAAACATTATAATTCGAATTGCTAATTTCTGTCTCCGAAGTTGAAACCTACGCAGATACCATATCTTCTGTTCCTATATACGTCTATGTCTATATCTTATCACTTAGTAAGAGGCAATCGACCTTTAACGGCCTTTACTACTATATATTATACTTGACTTTTAAATGCTTGAATCGAGTAAGTTGTATCCAATAATATGGAAGTACTTATGCACATGCTGTGCTAGAACTCAGAGATTACTAGCGACGAAGGCTCCTATGCCGCCGTCCGTAGATAATAAACTTTGAACAAATGAGGCGACGTGTGCGCCATCTATTAGTAGGATGAAAGCATTTAGTTTGACTGGAGCCTAGTTGCGCCATCTCTTGCAGGATGTATTGTAAGGCATTTTTAAATTTCATAAACTTATTCTTCTACTAAGCAATAATTGGAAAGTGAAATGATGAAAAACCAAACTTGCTGTAAATTGAAACGTTGTCACAAGCGTTAAAAATATTTACATACAAACTACCTGCTTGGAGGAACAAAGTCCATAGCGCATTGTAATTTGATAAGTAAATCTATAAGTAAAAAAATGGAGTATAATCTGGCTAAATAAGAAGAAAACGAAAATATATACATACCACCGACTATTATGGTGAATAGTGCGCAGCCTCTTGTGGCGTGTTCAATGTGAAATCATAATTTCCTAGTTTTTTGATGATAGTCTTAGGATGACTGTCACATTTCATAAAAAAGTTATGAGAAGCTTTTAGAATTTCAGAATCCGTGGGTTTAATTTTTAAGTCATTGTGAAGAGTGCAGTTTCATATGAACCAAGGCGCATTTGTAATTATTCGGATGGCCTTGTTTATTAACTCAGTTTCTCTCTTAACCCCCTTTTATTGCTAACTATTTCTATAGTACATGTTGTGTATTGTGATGAATGATGAAATAAGTAACATGTCAGTTTGAAGGAGCTTTGCAATATTTAGTAATAATAAGCATATCTTCGAAATTAGTGCAGCAAGTTAAAACACAAAATTGGGATTTTTTTAAAAATCTTTTTATTAAATAAAAATCAAATTGTTGAGATGCATGAGTTATCTTCTATGTTAGTTATCTGTAAATAATCCTGTAATTCTGAATAATGTACTCCAAAAAACAATAACTCAACCACAGATTTTAAATTTGCTGCAAAAGTTATTTTGTCATTCTAATTTGAAATATGCTACAATAGTTGTGTATTTGTTGCAGGCTCGATCTGAAGCCATCGCTACTTATGCTTTGTGTGGTTTCTCCAATATCAGCTCCATTGGAATCCAGATAGGAACCCTCAGTGCCATGGCCCCAAGCAGAAAATCGGACTTCGCCCAGATTGCGCTGAGAGCCATGATCACAGGCATGGCCACATGTTTCTTGAATGCTTGTGTTGCAGGTCAGTCACTATGCTTTTAGTCGCATTCCAACATCAGACAACCGACTGACCCTTATTATTTGTGCTGAAGATATTAGGTTGCATTAGGTTGTGTGAATATAGCAAAGAAAGTGACGGCTATCTTCTTAAGGGGGGATCCCTTCATGGAGGATCTTCGAAGGAAACTGGCTGGTATTCACGTTCCACATGGAAGAAGCTACAAACACCAAACACTGAGCCAGTCCTCTACCCTGGGATCGAATCCGGGTCAGATTCCCAGTATTCAGCTGTCTTAATCACATTGTTTTTTGCGCAACTACTTCAATTCTATGGATGGTCACAATGTCTTGTTCATTTACAAAGTTTAATTGTTCAAGTCCTGTAATTGCCGTATTGCCGTACCGAGAGTTCCCACTAAATTGTCAATCGAAATTTTTCGTTCGCAACAACTTCTCTGTCACTTTCCGTTAGTATCTATAGCGATATTTTCTACATTTAGAACCATACTACCGATTTCTCCGTCTGTTAGTAGATTGATTATTAGGGCATTGTCACCACAATGAAACACATCTGTTATATCATCTTCATTTAGTAACACTTCTCCATAAGTTCCATAAAATGGAAAATTACCCTTTTTGTTTGCTCTATATGAAAACCTTATATTCGTAGCTATCATCATAAAACTTAGCTAGCGTCCGCTATATACTATTGGTGATGTAGCATAGATTTAAGATTGGCTACTTCAAACATATTGTTCCGGAAAATTTTAGCTTGCTTCTATTGCACACTAAGGAAGTTAAGCCTGAATTATACTAGTTTAGTTACTTATTATACTTACGCCTATTTCTCGCACATTTTTAAGGCTGAGTCCCGAATTCTCACATAGAATATTTAAGGCTCATCCACTGGACATTTTGTGGCCCAGTGCAATCTCTGAGGGTCCAGACCAGAATTCTACTGCTAAGCGCCTTTCTGAAATCTAAAAATTTTGCGACGAAGGGACTTCCGTAAATTTTCCGCCCCCCCCCTGCTGGCACATTTCGTAAGTGCACATCTGTATCGCCACCGAGGAAGTGGCTTCTAGAATGGACCAGTTGTCTTCCGGTAATTTTTCTGTCAGTTCACGTGACCTTTTCAAAACATTAAGTAGAATAGTTGAAAATGTTTTGCCACTCCTATACAAAATAGCTAAAGCATCGTGCATTTCTTGCAAAAATTTTCAGTGCAAATTACATCAAATATCAGCGTACTTAAACATGTGTGTAATACGTCTTAGCACTTTTTATTGCAGTCTATATGAAAACTATGTTGTATAACGATAAGCCAAGGAATAGTTTTATTCAAAGTGAACTTCCCTAATTTGCATTTCTAGACACTTAGTATGTTAAATTTCACATTAATAACTCCTCTCTTTTAAATGTATTGTTTAAGCAAGAAATACTCTTCAAACAGAATGAATTTATCTTATTTACAACGAATATATTTAATTCATTGATATGTAACTTTTAATGTTAATAATAGAAATAAAAAGATCATTCCCAGTATATATTTTGAATCTTACACTTTCAAAATAAAAGTAATACAAGCTTTGAGATAAGAAAATACTAGATTCATTCTAACACTTACATTCATTCTCAGCTCAGGTAAAAAAATTATACAATTGAATTCTCTTAATCCACACATTCGTAAATGCATAATACTCGAGGCTGATTGTAGCTAGAGTCATTTCTTCCATATAAAGAGCTATAATATTCCACGAACATTGCTTGAGAAGTTTCGCAAAAGTGAAATGTTGATGATTAAATAAACTTATGAGAACACTACGAGATTTTCTACAATAATGCTGGCAGCATTTGTTCCCCATATATTTATCACTGCGAAACAAATGCAAAATAAAGCATAAACAACAACATGGGCTCATATGCACAGTTTCGAAGATTCAGCGTTGCAGGAGCAATAGAAGTTCGTTGGTCCATTTCTGAAACCCCTTCCTCAGTGGTGATACGGATGTGCACTTGTGAATTATGCCCCCCACTGCGGTCTAACCAGCTTTGGCGTCGGTTCTGGCTTAATCAATTATTCTGAATTCAAACAGCCCTAAATGTAATCTTATGACCTATGAATATCACTTACAAAATCTTTTTTTTTTTTTTTTTTTTTTTTTTTTTTTTTTTTTTTTCATATAGCAAGAAATTTCTGTTGAATTTCTTTTCGCAGCAAAATTAGCTGAAGTCTTTGATCATAGCCTAGTGTTATGTCAACTTAAAAGGTTGTCCATGCTGTGTGGTATTAAATTACTAATATTTTTAAAAAATTGTTTAGACATCGCTGCGTGAGTTATTTCTCAAGCTACAGTATGTTGCTAGTAATATGGTGATGAAAGCAAAAAAAAATTAAATAATGATTCACCAGCTTGGAGTCAGTGCCGAAGAATTATTGAGACTTGATTATTGAGATTACAAGAGTGATTAAAAAGCGAGACTATCCACGTATGAAATGCGTGGCGCAAAGTATAAAAAAGCTTCTAAAAGTGGAAAACAAAGATTGCTAATGGTCCGCTGATCCGGACTTTTACGGATACTGGATCTCTGTATTTCGTACTTTGTACTATATAAATGTCATTGTAATTTAGTCGTAGTTTAATCATATTTTTAGCTAGTTACCGTAACATGTGTGATCACATTTTACGTACGAATAGGTCACAAAAGACATCTTGTAATTTTATTTCGGTATAAAGAATTTTTAATGTAACAAATGAAACTGTTTCGTAAGAATCTGCTAATACAATTTCTTCTAAAGAAGATCAAAAAGCTATATACTGGCCTCCTAAAATATTCTATAAATGCTGGTGCCGCAAGTGAAAAGTTAAAATTAATCCCGAGAAATCTAAAATTCTGGTCATCAGGAAATATAAAACCACAGACTCTATTGGTTGCACCGTCAATCGTTTTGGGAAATCTATACCTATTGTAAGTTCGGCTAAGCATCTTGGAGTCATCATTAACCGCTCGTTCACTTGGTTTGCGCATATCAACAGTGTCAGAAGAAAAACTTATGGGATATTAAGACACCTTTACCCACTTATGGCTAAAGACTCAGGGCTAAATCTTGCAAGAAAGTAAAGACAATCATTAGGCCCATTATCACGTACGCCTCCCCGGCATGGGCGAGTGCTAAAGACTATGACATTCAAAAACTGCAAATCCTGCAGAATAAAATATTACGCGTAATCACTAATGCCCCATTATACATAAGAAATGAAAATTTGCATAAGGACATAAAAATCGACTATGTGACGAATCATCTGGCCATGCTTAACGATAACTTGTACAGAAAAGCTAAAGGTAGTAAAATTTTCAATTATGACAGTGTTCTGAAGTATGAAATCATCATGGATGACCTATTTCTCCGTTCCTATGCCTCTTACCAACTTAGACAAATGGAAAATTAATTCTTAACAGGTCTTAACTCCATTATTATATTTTTCACTCAGGGCCAGCTTCTGGTATGACGTACCCTCACTGATGACATTGACCAATCGTATATCGGCACCATCCATCAGACTAAAACCAGGGAACGACTATTTGTCTCTGCATGCTTTTGCCTACTTCAGAATAATGACAATTCTTGTAGAATTTACCATATTTTTACATTATTTTAAGGGGTAATATTTTCAACATTCCTCACAGTAGTTCATGAATTATCCTTGATTTTCTACTTCACGACATACCTATCACGACGCTGATTGGCTCCTTCTCTGGACTGACCGCGCCTCCTCCAGCTTTATCACTCATTACAAGATTGCAGCTTCTAACGCTAGAGTTACATGGCAAATGTGCTAGTGCTTTTTTCTAGAATTATCTACATCCTTCCATGGAGATATGTCAGGGAAATTTTTCAACGTAAGACTCCGCATGGAACTCACTTATTTATCTGGGAAGTATCGCTCAGGCGATAGAACCCCAGAATAAACACCGTATATCGCAGTATCTATAAATGCTTTTCTGAAATAGGTTGCTAAGGCATGCTTTAGTTTCTTTCATCTTTCGTAAGTTACTCAAAGAGGTATTTTCGAATATTTAACCTATTATCGTAAATTTTAGGCTCATGCATAAAAGTCATACACCATGAAAATTCCGGTTTCAAAGTAATAAATGTGAAGTGGATTTAATATTTAAATACTGTTAATCTGTCGCATAGCTTCAGTATAAAATTCATCCATTTAGGTATTAAGTTACTAAGCAAACAATGCCATAATCCAATTTGCTTTTGAGTTGCTTTGCAGACGATACGAGTTCCTCTGGAATTTATTCAATTTAGGACTTATTTTTTATATGAAATCTGCGTTCAATTGTAAATTTGTTTTAAAATCTCGTGTAGATAGCATCCTGTACCACATTAAAATTCGTTATACGCTTTTTATCTAAAAATTAGCACTAACCTCTTTTCTTCCACAGGGACTCTGCTGCAACAATGAAGTGTGGCTATGATAGATGTTTCCTACGTAGTCCAAGCCATGGTGCTTGTAATGAAGCATTCATTTGTCTCACAGGATATTCGAGGCAGATAGCCAACAAAAGCTTCGTTTCTGCGTGAATGTGCTCCCTCTCATTTGAATGATCAACTGTGATTTCTGGCAGCAAACTCGGATACATCTTAGCTGCAGCTGTTATGTGCACCATCATTCAAAGATCAACAAAATATGATTTCCAACGTCAACGCTACCAAAAGTGCTGACTTTGTTAAAATTCTTCTTCGACTTTGTTCACTTCTTCTTTGTTAGCAGAGATATATACAGTATTCCATTTGTTGACTGTCATGGTGGTTTCACAATCGTTTGGCACAAGATCTGTACAGAATCGTCTTAAATATTACATTTTTAATATAAAATTCAGATTCATTATGAAATTTTTCACGTTAATCAAAAATATTCCGATTTATTTACCCATATGGTATGTTCTGCAATCAAGCATCTGTCATATGACTTTTACATGAGCCTTGTGAAATACTCGTATATTCTGGACGATTCTGATGTATATAATGTTTTTAAATTTATTTCTTAAGTATATTTAATAAAAAGGCTTATTGATGAGTAATACATTATTTATTATTGACACTGAGGATTCAATTACCATTCATATATATAATTATGACAGATATTCTGTCAAAAATGCACTGGTATTCAAACTTAAAAGAATATTAACATTTATTTGATGCTCCCGCATTGAAGAACATATTTTAATGAAAATGTGTTATGTTTGATAGAATACAAAACAATGTACCATACAATGATCATACTATATATGCATGATCATTGGTAAGATTTCTAAATATAAGAGGGTTTAAAACATAGTTTGCAACATCGAACAAAAAGCTAGGCTATTAGAGGATATGATCTCATCTAAAACTCGTAACGTGACTTCATCCTGGAACGTGACTCATTCATAACGTGACTTCGTCCTGGAAGTGAAGCAGTTTATGAATTCCTATGGCAGTCGCTCCCATTCTTGCACGCTGCGGCTGTAGTGGTTCTGCACGCTGCGGCCCAGCGTGCAGAACCACTACACCACGAAGGACGCTAGGAAAGTGGAAGAAATACCGGGTCCGTGACACTTAGCCGACGAGACACTTAACCGACACCAGTTGGCCGACAGGACATTTAGCCAACATGGTCACTTAGCCGACACGGACAGTTAGCCGACAAGACATTTAGCCGATAAGGACACATAGCCGACAGGACATTTAGTCGACACGGACACTTAGCCGACAAAGACAGTTAGCTGACAGGACATTTAACTGACACGGACAGTTAACCGACAGGACATTTAGCCGACACGGACAGTTAGCCGACAAGGACACACTTAGCCGACAGGACATTTAGCCGACACAAAGAATTAGCGTCAGGGCATTTAGCTACGGGATACTTAACTGTAAACGCATCTAGTCAACAGGACACTAAGCCGACAATAACGTTTATAATTATTTAAACTTACTGTCAATTACAAAATTTCTCGACTTATCCATAAGTTCAATATTTAAGTTATTTTTTTTTTCACCAATCAGTAAAATTCATTTTTCGATTCTTTAAGGTCTCATATGCGTGCATTTAATTTCTTGTATAATTTAGCATTGTTTGATATGTACTGTTTGGTGTATATTGGCCAAATTAAAAAAGCACTGAAATTTCTCGTCAGGGAATATGAATAAAATTTCGAAAGGAAAAAAAAAAAAAAAAATTTTTTTTTTTACTTAATTACATTTTAATATGATCTTAAAAAATTATCCTTAAAGCTTCTTCATTTAATCTACTTGGTCCTTTTGAACACCTTCACATCATTAATAATTTTTCTTTTTTACTTAATGACATTAATTTTCCAATCTCGCTCTTCCAAATGCTTTCAAATTTCTAATACCTTTACGTTTTCATTACTATTTTACTCATCACTTCATGTTACATTCTTTCCCTTACAAAAGCGTTTGTCTTCTTCCACTGCTGAAATATCAAATTTCCTTTCCCTGCTATGAAAAATCTGAATAATGCAATAAAAATTATTGTTTTTCTTCAATTATACTTTTTTTATACAAACATATGGTGGTAAGGGTGTTAGTTTAGCAAATATATTTCATTTTATTATTAAAAACAATAAAAAAAGGGATTGTGAAGACAAGCAAGGGTATAATTTTTTTTTTTTACCTCTATAATTTGCTGTTCATACCACCATTCTTGAGATAGAAATTCTGTAACAGTTTGTGGCCACGCCTCTCGCTTAAAATACTTACTTAGGTTAATGTTTACAGCACTAAATTTGTGCATAATCTTTAATTTCGAAGTAAACTATTCTTTAAGGTTTTGTTTTATTCATAACTGAAAGCTTGCAGAAGGAGAAGGCCACAAATCAAAGAGGCGGAGTAAAGTGGCACATCCTGAAAAGTCATCCGTAATGTGGTGTCATCATCTATCAATGCTGGATTTGCCTAGATCAGTCATGTAAATACATAATATTATGTACTATGTTTTGAAAGTCGCGATGTGTATATTCTAATATTAATGTTGTTCTTATAAAATATAACTTTTCGCAATATCTGTTAAAATTGTATAAATTTGCATTTCACTTTTCATTAATTCTATTCTTTTTCCTCTTTCTATCCTTCCATTTCTCTTTTTCGGTTTAGCTACATGGTAATGGGAAAATTTTTGGTGCCCATTTTTCTGAATGCATTTATAAAGTTCTAGCCTAAAACGGCAATTTTCATTGGAAGAGACTCGTTATATATTAAGTAAAATGGTCACCCTATTTCTCTTAGGCTCAGCAGAGGCCGAGCTTTAAAGTCATGAACCCTGGCAGGTCGGTCCGAATTTCGAATCCCGCGAATAGACAGGCTGCATAGGTGTTTTCGTGGTTTTCCTCATGTGTAACATGTATACGAGCCAGTTTTCATTAGAAAGTCCTCCACGATGGCATATCTTCCTTTGGCCAGATAGCCCTTTGGCTTTGCCGTAATTACAGAAACCAAACTTCTTGTGTTAGGTGGCCGCAGACTTGGTTTCTGGCCCTCTCCTTCTGCAGCTTCAGTTATGAATAAAACAAAACTTAAAGAATATTTTACTTCTAAATTAAACATTATGCACCAATTTAGTGCTGTAAACATTAACCTAAGTAAGTATTTAAGCGAGAGGCGTGGCCAATAAAAGGTTACAGAATTTCTATTTTAAGAATAGTGGCATGAACTGCAAATTATAGAGGTTACAAATAATTTTTACCTTTGCTTGTCTTAAAAATTATCTTTTTTTAATTGATTTTAATAACAAAATAAAGTATATTTGCTAAAATAACCCTCACCTATGTTTCTGTAAAAAAGTATAATTCAAGAATAACAATAATTTTTATTGCATTATTCAGATTTTTCATTACAGGGAAAGGAAATTTCATATTTCAGTAGTGGGAGAAGCCAAACGCTTTTGTAAGGGAAAGAATGTAACATGATGTGATGAGCAAAATAGTAATGAAAACGTAAAGGTATTAGAAATTTGAAAGCATTTGGAAGAGCGAGATTGGAAAATTAATGTCATCAAGTAAAGAAGAAAAATTATTAGTGATGTGAAGGTGTTGAAAAAAAACCCAGTTGATTAAATGAAGAAGCTTTACGGATAATTTTTTAAGATCATATTAAAATGTAATTGACCGCTGTACTTAGCCAAAAAAAAATATTCTCTTTTCCTTTCGAAATTTAATTCATATTCCCTGACGAGAAGTTTCAGTCTTTTTTAATGTGGCCAATATACACCAAACAGTACATATTAAACAATGCTAAATTACACGAGAATTAAAAGCACGCATATGAGACCTTTAAGAATCGAAAAATGAATTTTACTGATTGGTGAAAAAAAAAAAAAATAACTTAAATATTGAACTTATGGATAAGTCGAGAAATTTTGTAATTGACAGTAAGTTTAAATAATTATTGGGTTCGTGTCACCTAAACGTTATTGTCGGCTTATTGTCCTGTTGACTAAATGCGTTAACAGTTAAGTATCCCGTAGCTAAATGTCTTGATGTTAATTTTTTGTGTCGGCTAAATGTCCTGTCGGCTTGTCCTTGTCGGCTAAATGTCTTATCGGCTAAGTGACCGTGTCGGCTAAGTGTCCCTGTCGGCTAAATGTCTTGTCGGCTAACTGGTGTCGGTTAAGTGTCCCGTCGGCTAATTGTCCGCGACCGCGGTATTGCAGAGGTCCGTGGTTCGATTCCCGGCGAAGGCGGTTGCTAATTTTTCATCTCTCTGGCTTCCAAAAAAATCCTAATGTCTCTACAGTGGCACCTGAACTAAAAGGGTTGTGGATGATGATTCTCCTCACCCAGGATTTGGCGACTAGGTCCCCTAAAACCCTAGTCGCTCTTTAAAAAGGGGAGTATATAAGGTATTTCTCCCACTTTCCTAGCGTCCTTCGTGGTGTAGTGGTCCTGCACGCTGGGCCGGTATTCCTGAAGTCCGTGGTTCGAAACCCGGCGAAGGCGGTTTGCTAATTTTTCATCTCTCTGGCTTTCAAAAAATCCTAATGTCTCTACACCTGTATCCGCTGTATCTATCTAACTCTTTGACCATCCAGAATTTTGAAAATACGTATTCAAATCAATATTGCATGGTTGGAGCCCAACAGAAGATTTTTGCTTACAAGTCATTATGAAAATGATCTACTGCCATAATAATGCCTAATTGTTATTTTCTAGTGATGCAGTAATTTCTTTGCGACTTAAAAAGGCTTTTATTAAAATAGTAAACGACATGCTCTTAGCAATCGATTTCCTGTAAAAGAACCATTCTAATTCCTTCATCGTTGGTATTTGCGTCAACAAAAAATGTCATATTCAGGTTGGAAATAAACTAACAAGGAAAGTCAAAGCGTCATACCGGGTTTTTAATCCTTCTTCACCATCATCAGAAAACAAAATCTTTTACTTTGCTTTGTCAAGCAGTGTAAAGGCCTTGCAAATTCAATGACGTCTTTTTGTAAATCTTTAATAGTAAGTGTAGAGGTCGAGAAAGCTCCTTAATTGATCAATATCTAGAAAGCGATATCAGTCATGAACAGCTTTGATTTTCACAGGGCTTTTGCGTACGCCTTTGGCGAGATAAAATGGCCAAGATAGCTAACTTCCCGGCGAAATAATTTGCATTTCGAAGGGCTGAGCTTTGAGTCAGTCTCTGAGAGATTTTGCAACATTTTTCAATATTTCCCCAGCTTTTTTTAGAATTTCGTCCCACTACGATAATGTTGTCTAGATAAGATTTTCTCTAATTCTATGCAAAGGGTAACTTCTTTCTTTGTAATAAATATTTAAACTTCTATCTTCTTCTCTGTTATTAATCATTATTATTATTATTTTTTTTTTTTTTTTTTTTTTTTTTTTTTAAGCGAGAGACGTGTAAAATGTGCAATGCCCTCGCCAGGATTCGAACCTGAACCTCTCGAATACAAGCCGAATGTGCTACGTTACATCACAAAGGCATACTCATTAAGGGAGAAAATATCTCATAACATATATGTATAAAACAAAGTGTACTTGCAGAAGCAGAACGCATTATATATATGATGCAAAAGTGATCATCTGGTCGTTTTCTAAGCATATTGTATTTCAAAATACTTTTGAGAAGTGTAGGAGCAACATAATTTTGCTTTCTTTCCTTAGAATTTAATGTTTAAAGACATTCCATATTTTTCCAAAATTTCTAAATTGTATTGAAAATCCGAGTTCTTATTATGGTTTATTAAAAACTTTGCTATATTTCTTAATTGAACACCTTTTTTCTGTCTCTCTTTCAAAATAGAAATATTAAAAATATATTTATACATGGCTTGTAATTGTTTTTTTCAATTGTTTGCCTTTTAACACTACTTTATCTTCTTTATTTCTGTCTTCCTTACTTGCTTTTTCTTCCAGAAGAAAAAAAAAAACTGAACTAGTAGATTTAACAATTAGATGAAAATAAAAACCGTTTTAATACTAGTATTTATAGGATATTTGGTACTTACGTATTAACGCAACCATCTCAATAGAAGTCGCCAAATTTTCAGAACGTGCCAGAATCTGGCAACCATGCGCATAACCGTGTCCATAACTGTACTTCAGTCAAGCCACCCCGCCATTTTAGTATGCGTTCTATTTTCTCGTATTTCAAGTTCAATGTTTTTTATAAGCAAATCGTGATATTTTTTGCCTTAAATTTAGTTTTAAAATATGAGTTTGTACAATTTACCAGCAATGGAAGAAACTGCGGTAAAATTTCTGCAGGAATACAGAATTCTTCTGAAAATTCTCTAAAGGTAACAATGAGGACATGCATTTCCTAAATAACCGCTGTTGTCGAGGGTTGCACGAAGCCGAGTTTCCGCAATTCTCTGAATTTTTTAAGCGAAAACAGATCGCTGTATACTTCGGGAGAATAGCGCAAAAAAATACTGAAAGATTTGAAGAAGAATATGTTTTTCCTTCTTTCGTGTATCACATAATCCTAATTTAGTAATTCAAATTTGTATTTTAAGTTACTAAAATATGTTTCCTTTTCACATATTGATAATATTTATCGATGTACGATAAATATGGATAGTTTGGGGATCTTTTTAGAAAAAAGGCGCGAAAACCACCAGCTTGCACCTGATGAGTAACTTTTAACTTTTCATCTGTAAATAATCCCCATATTGCGCCAAGTAGTTGCGTTAATACTTAAGTACCGGATATTTAACCTGTTTGAATATTTTCTTGTATAACGAAATATTTCTTTTTGAAAAAAACCTTTTGTAAATCAACTCAATCTTTCGCTAAAATCTTAGTTTTCAAATTAGCGAGTTTTGCCTAACCTGTAATACTGAACGAATAGTTAGGGTTGCAGAAATCAGTGGATCGAAAACTTAGCTCTGAAATTAGAGAGAATGTATATGATTAGTTATATAAACGGAGATTTTCTTTCGGCATTATTTCTTCATTGGCAATTTGTGATTTAATGAGGCATTTGTACTATAAACTTCAAATATATTTTTCACGCTGCAAAGCTTCAATAAATTTAAATAACTGTGGTAAGTAAAAATGTCGCATGAACTCATTTTGCTACTGTTTTAACAGATAACATTTCATTTCGGTGCAGTTAATTATTAAGCAAAAGCTTCAAAAAATCTCTATTACTCACTTCTGGGAATATAAGCTGTGATATAACCTTCACAGCAATGATTAAATTCTGTATTTATATGATAAACTTCATAAGTTCCATATTTTAATCAACTCGTACGGTGAGTAAACACTTATTGTATACAGATGTGAATGTTAGCAGTAATAATTAATATATAATAATTAAAGCGAATTTTTAAAATTATTATTAAAAATGCATTAAGAATGAAACGATTAGCATCAAGAAAAATACCACAGGTACATGAATTTTTTAGAAGCGGGAGAATCTCAAGGAAAATTTTTTGCTGTCCACAAATTTCTGCAAACATCGAAGGAAATCAGAAACATTTTTTAATTTGGACATTTCAAATTATTTTAATATTATTTTATATAGCAAAGGTGAGGGGATTAGAAAAATATAATTTGAGGTAACATGAGATACACGCGTTCATGCTGTTCTTCTCGTTTAACATAAATATGAACACACAGAGGAGTTCCACTTACCTGAAATAAGATATCCAAAGTTCTAGTTCAGAGGATTATTTATTATTTCTATGCTATCCGAAATTAATTTTATGTTCTATATGATTTCAGTTCTTGTTTTGAATTAAATAACATGAAAATATTACATTTTACAGTGCATACTTTTAAAAAGTTGCTCATTTAATCTGGATAATTGATTTTCAAATGTGGGCCTGCTCCCAAAGGAGGAGCGACGACATCCAAAGGGGCCCGGGCGGACCCAGCAACACTCCAGCTCCCGCGCATATCGTGTAGAGCTAATAGGTTATTTCGAAGCAGGAGAGATGAAAATTAGCAATGCCCTCGCCGGGACACGGACCTCTCGAATACGCTCCGAGCGTGCTGACCACAAAGGCATGCTAAGAAGGCGGGAGAAATAGCTTATATACTCCCCCTTTTAAAGACTGACTGGGCAATCACCAAATCCTGGTGGTGGAGAATCATCATCCACCGCTTTTTTTATCGCTGATCGGGCGCCACTTGTAGAGACATTAGGTTGTTTCGAAGCAAGAGTCATGAAAAAGGAGCAGTACCCTCGCGGGAACTCGAATCACGGACCTCTCGAATACGCACCGAGCGTGCTGACCACTACACCACGAAGGCATGCTAAGAAGGCGGGGAAAATGCCTTACAATCGCACCAACCACATCACCCCGCTGCGCTGCGCTCGAGTCTAAGTTGGGCCTGAATTCACTCAGTATTGATCACAGGAGTTACGTGCACTTTTGATCCGAAAATAAATTGTCGACTAATTAAGTTTTTTTTTTTTTTTTGTTATTATTTTGTCAAAAGCTCGGCGTTGAAAACTCAACTACAATGATGACTTAATTAAATACGGTTTTATTGCAATACCAAAAAAATGGTGTCAACCTTCTGCAATGTGTTATTTGTTACGAATTATTGAAATAAGACCTCGTCTGGAGCAACATTTGTCGACAAAACATAGCGTGTTAAAAGGCTATTTCTGCTGCAAAATGTGTAAGTGTGAAACATATGAAATTGGATAATATTAGGTCCTTTTCCTCAGTCATCTGAAAAAGCACTCGAAAAATGCTTTTAAGGACAAGAAAATTCATATTATCGGAGAAACACTCGTCAAACTTGTCTTTGTTGATCATGTTCTTGGACTAGAAAGTAAACAAGAACTTTCACAAATGCCGCTTTCTGACAACACTGTGAAACGTCTCATTAATGACATGGCCGAAAACACAAAAATTCAGTTAGCGTAGGCCGTAAAAGAATCAAATTTTTTCGCAATACAGTTGGATGAGAGCGCAGGGGCTGCAAAATGGTGTCAACTGTTATAATGGCATCAAACATTCGATACATACAAAACGAAGCAATTAAGGACATGATGCTGTTTTCTACATAGTTAATGACTATTTCAAAAGCAGTTCATGTAATGAGAGCAATATTTGAACTTGTTTTTGAAAATATGAACTTTAAATATGAACTTTAATATGAAAATATGAAAAAAGAAATATGTTAATATGTAGCCTACTTAAATCTCTTGTCGTGATAGAGAGAACTGTGATATTAAGTGGCTGCGATTAGGACTGCCGAGCTGAGGGTTTGAGGTAAATCTTGACGATTTATCGGTAATCTTAGCCTCATTTAAAGAATATGGGCTGCATAAATACGAAAGTACGAGTTGTTTGTTCTGATTCTGATTACCTCTAAAATCGGTACGGGCAAGATGGACCGTCCTTTCACTCCTTGTTTGGGAAAACACATGAATTTCTGAAGACAGCGTTTCTGGATGGAATTCATATTATTCCTGCTCTTTCCCTGTAGTAGCAAAATGACTGGTATCCATAACATCTCTGATATTGGGAGCACACGGTCACTTCCACGTTCCTTTAAATTGAGTGGTCGGCAATCTCATAATCATTCAGGAGCTCTGTATGATCTTGTGAGGGATACCTTGTATGTTACCAAGTGTATCTGCCTTATAACTCAGTTGCCAGTAATAGTAGCATGCCGAAAATTTCTTCAGGGTTTTCATGACTTAGCAGTGTCTAGAGAGCCTCCTCCTATGAGGTAAGTAATTTTTATACCCTTTTGATTGTATGATATGAGCCATTAGCTGAGAACACATTTATAAAAAAAGGGTTAAAAAGTGGTTGGTATTCTAATTCTTCAATACAAGGTACATATTAGTATGTATTATTGCAAAAATAAGGAAATTAATAAATTTGCCTCATTTAAAAATAAGTATAATTTACTAGATTTAAATTTATTTTGAAACCATGTTAATTTAGTTTATGCTTGTATGAATGTTTTCTAACATATGTAGTGATTGACTTTTTAAAATTATATCATCTGATTAGAATCCATCTCATGTGGATGTATGTTTTTCCTGATACTTTTATGCCTTCTGTTTTATGTTCTTTTGAAATATTTTCTGAAATCACCGTTGTGTGTTAAAATGTATGTAAACTGTGTTATTTTATAAAAGTTTCTAATATCTTCCCTGTGGATAGGTTTCAGATGCATTTTTATAAGTGAGGATATTTTAATTATCCTTGTTTAGTTCTCTTATATTAAATATAATGTAAGGGAACCTTATGTTAAGTATAACTAAAATATCACTCTTAAAATACTAATCATTCCACTTAAAAAGTCAAGGAATATTAGAACATTTGAAAAAATAAGTTGGGGAGTTAAAAAAATGTATAGGTCATGTTTCTAAAAAAATTTGTGTAGTAGTAGTAACAAATAAAAAGTAGTAACAAATAAACAAAATTGCCAAGCATAACGAAGAAAGAGAATGAGGATTTATCCCTCTCCCCAAAAAAGTTTACTTTTCTTGGGGATATCTAATTCCCAAGAAAGAGCAAACTTTTCGAATATTTTTTCTAATATTCTTAGCAATTTTACCAACTCATAGCTCTTTTCATCTGTTCGTGAGATTTGTCTGGTTTTCTCTTTGGAAGTTTAAATATTGTTTGATTTCTTCCTATACAAATGTAAAATTGCCTTTCAAAAATAAATAATATATAATAAGTCATATTATATAATTGTATGTTATAATAACTATGCCAATTAAACTCTTTTTGCATCCAGTATATTTCTTTACTTTTCAATTTTGTTTTGAAATTCTGTAGGACTAATATTCATGATAAATGATGTACTGTTATGTAAGGTATGATAATAAAGTTTGGTAAATGAGGTGACAAAATATTGGAAATATGGTGAAACTAATATGAGAATCGTAAAGGCGTCTCGTATCGGATGACTGGGCCATGTGTTTAGATAATATGATGGATTTCTAACCAAAAAGAAAACCTTTTCAAGAATTGAGGGAGTAGGATGAAAAGGAAGGCCACTCACTAGATGAATAGATGATCTCGAGCAAGATTTAAGGATTGGAGTTAACCGATGGAGGGCTATTGCGCCGAATGGGGTCAAGTGGAAGAAATTTTGAGAGACAGGCCTTGGCTTTTAACAGGCTCTGGAGCTTATGAAGAAGAAGAATGAGGTGACAGAATTCACACATGCTGCAGTGGGTAAATGACAGGGTGCAGAAAAGATACTGCATAACGCTTCTGAGTATGTCTGAATGTGACACAGAAATGGAAATTACAGATCTGTGTTAATGGTGCTGTAAATGTACAAAGCTGTATCAGTGGCTGTAAAATGGAAATGCAAGCAAATTTTAAGTTCACTTCCAAACATAGTAAATTTGAAAAAAGGAGTCATGATGTACTGAAACTAGTTCATGGACATGAAGATGTTTCTGTGAAATACACTTATAAATGGCTTAAAAATTTGGGGAAATATGAGGTTCCATTGAAGACTCCGCTCAAAGTGAATATCACTTCTCATAGCAGCAAAACATTGAAAAAGTGAAAAGGAAGCTTTGGATTATTGTCTTAAGTATGAATGACAGCAGAGAAACTTGTGGAAGTGTACATGCTGAGCAGGCCAAAGCAAGCTATTCATTTCTCTTCCATGGTAATGCCCATCTAGGTTCAACTTATTTCCTGAAAGAGTTCATGGCCTGTAGAGGAGTTATAACCCTTGACCCATTTACTGTACTCACTTGTTCTTGCTCTACCAGACTTCCTTCTGTTCCTTACCTGAAATGAGCCCTGAAAGTCAAATGATTTTTGGATTCCATGTGATATAAAAACAGAACTTTGTCTGCTGTTTTCAGAAACTGTAGAGTTATTATCAAAAGTGCGTTAGAAATGATGGTCAGTATTTAGAGAAAGAATAGAAGACATTTTTCTTGTTTTAAATAAGAATCAATACTTTCTTATTATCTGCACCAACACCAATAAGTCATAAACTGATTGCTGACTTTAGCGAGCATTTAAGAAATTGTTAGCGAGTAATTTTTTGCAAGCTACTGAACAGAAGGCAGCAGACGTTTTCAAAATGGCAGCCCACTATGAATTCTTTGCAAAAATAATCAATGAATGAAATGAAGATAACAAAAACTGATGCTAATAAAGCACTTAACATTTTTTTAAATCATTCTTTTATGCACTGTTAATCTCCCCATGTATATGATCTTTTTTTTAAAAAAAAGGTTTAATAATAGTACAAATTTGGCATCGAAACAACGTTACCATGAAGCTGCTGATACGACACCTAAGGAAGTCTCATTAAAAGATATGATTGATATCCATCTTCCTATTTCAAGACTTACTATCAAGAATAAATTTCTAAACAAGTTTTAATAAAATGGCAAAGAAAATGAGATGAGGGAGATTCAATACTTCAAACAAGTATCCCTGAAAAGAATAAAAACGTATTTCCTGTTAGTACAATTAGCAACAAAACACAGAAAGTTTCCATCTCATTTCCAGCGCTTCTCAAGAAGAGATGTAAGATGTGGGTGTGGAACACCACCACATGTAGTAGATGCTAAACATTATATATGGCAATGTCCACTACTTTCAATTATTATTAGAGCAAAGCATTTAGCAACAAAACTTCCAGCAAAATATTTATTCTGCAATACAAAGTATGTTTGCATTTCAACAAATTATGAAATATATTATTGAAAATGAAGGCACTGTTTAAAGGGTTAATCATATTACATAGTGAATTAACAAGTATTTAAGATCAAATAAAGATTATAACATGTCCTGTCTCAATTTGTAAAGAGCAAGAAAAAATTATTTTAAGTCTTCTCTTCATCTCTATATGTTGTGTATGTTACTGTATTATTTTATTACTTTATATATTTAAAAAAAAAGGACCAGTGGGTCTTCTTAATCTTTTTTTTTTTTATTTGGTATGTGCTCTGCCCTTAGGCATTACATGGAGGGAGGAATGTCCCATGGAGGTCTTTTTAAGGTAAACTGGCTCTTATCCATATTACGAGTGAGGGAAACCAAAAAGACCATGCAGCCAGCCCGTTAGCTGGGAACCGAACTCTAGACCGAACTACCACTGTTCAGCGGTTATTACTGCTCGGCCACTGGTGGACACTAATGAGGTTAACGAAACTTCAAGTTGTGTGCAATTAATCAATGTTAATGCTCTCAGCCTTATGACTGCATATGCTGAGCAGATGGCTGATCAATTGTTTCGACAATTTTGGGACACGATTTAAAGGTTTTCTCCCCACACTGTTCTTCATTGACTGGGGTGGGAGTTAAAAATGTAAATAGATTAAAGATTATGCATTGGCCAAAACAAATGTACTACATACGTACTTGGGTTGTCTTATAACTGGTTTGGTAACTTTGCCTCATGAATACTTTTTGACTACTTTTTTGTGGGGATGCAGATAATTGGAAAGTACCTAAGAATCTTTTATGTATAAATGCATTCTCTGAACTTTGTCATTTGGTATATTTTTTTAAAAAACGCTTTCTATTTTACTACCTCATTGGTTTAAAGGCTATATATATTTCTTTTATTTGCTGTTTTGTAATAAATGAGATGAATAAAATTTTTTATTGTTCTTATTATTGCTTTGTATTTCATAATAAATTTATTAATATGTAGTTATTCATATTTAATTTGATAACCAGGTCATTGTCTGTGGTCAAGAAAATTAAAAGGTGAATTTCAGTGGGAACACTATGATAGGAAATTTTTTAACCATTCTTAATGCTTGAATTTCACTCCCCCCCCCCAGTTTAGTCTCTTAACTTCAAGAGTCTAACCATCTCTAACTAAATGGAAAATAATTTATTAATTTTTTTAAATATTAGAAATAAGAATATATGAAATATGTTATAGCAGGTTTTTGTTGTTATGTGATTTAATTACAAAATTCTTAAAAAGTTCCCCCTTCTTAAATTTTTGTATGTTTTCATTTAGATTGGAGTCGTATGTGTACAACATATTATTTGAGGTGCCATTACCGCCGCCCAGTCGAAGCTTGAAGTTAACTTGTTTTGGTCAACAAGTTTTGTGCCAAAGACCAGGTAATGCTATTCTCATTATGCTTTATTTGTGATTAAAAGCTTTCTGAATAATTAATAATTGATCATTTTTTTATTTGAAATCTTAAGAATAATATGTAAATTTTAGCAAACAGCGTCAATTAATTTTAGCTC